TCAATTTGAAAGCAAATCTAAAAAAATATATATATTTATAGAAAAATCCAAGAGGGCTTAAATAACATTATCCTAAGAAAGAACTGGAAAGAAAAATGGAGCTTCTGACAGTTCTCTTTTACTTAAAACTTTGAAGACAAGCTGAGCAGAGAGTGGCTTAGGGAAAGAGTGCCCAGGATCACAGCTCACAGACACCTGAATAATGCTGTTTAATCATATCTACTGCATTTGCTGCACACGAAGAACATCCATAACTTCTTCCTTACAGGATTTACTTTCATTTCCTCTATACACTCTAAAAAAATGCTGGGTTGTTTCAACCCAACTTCGGGTCAAATATGGACTAACCCAGCTGTTGGGTTAAATTTTTCAATTAAATTTTTACCCAAAAAGTGGGGTTAGTTCATATTTGACCGAAAGTTGGGTTGAAACAACCCAGCATTTTTTAGAGTGTAGCTTGCTTGGAAACAGCCCATCGGGCACTTCCTGTAAGATTTGAAAGTATTGAGCAGACTACATGCAGTTAACCTTTCTCATCTGTCACAATCACAGTTAAATCACTTAGGCATAATTAAAGCTTTTGATCAATATTAATATCCCTACGCAGCATAAAAGTGACCGTCAAATGTCTAAAGCACTTAAACTGCATGAGGAGATGTTCTTAAACAACAAAAACTACACTTTCTCTGCAGCTTCTGAAAGAACAAACAAAGCCAGTCGAAGTGAAACATACAAACCTAATTCGGGATAATCTTTAATGTCAAGATAAGCCAAAGGGTAGTAATAACTTCCATGGCTGTGCATTACACAGTGGAGATTGGTCATATGTTTGCCATTTCCATTAATGTTGTGTATCCGTATGCGTATTTCTTCTTCTAAGTTGTAGAAGTGGATGAAGTGCACTGATTCCAAAAATCAAGGCCGATGGGCCAGCCAGTGTCATTTAATCTTTCACAACAAATTATTCTATTTGTTTATTTTCATTTGCAGCTCCCCTCATCTCCTCCTTCCACCCCCCGCAGTATTTTGAGGAATGCAATTTCAGAGAGAATGAAAGGGCAATGTTTTGTTTGATTCAATCAGTATTGAATTGAACTGGATCAAATGAGAGTCCATTATCTGAAGGCACTGTTTGTCTCTTGGTGTAATGAGGGCCCTGTTCACACTCCGGTGTCTCATCCACCACATCTGTCCAACTGTTTCAGCGCAATAGACCTTTTATTACCACTGTGATGATAATCTTGTTGTTTTGTGCGATAATTGTATCAAGTAATCTCCTTTTCACAGAAACAAAGACTCAGTGGTGATGGGATGCCCTGAAGTTCTCAGTGAGCTAAAGCAGCAGCATTGTCTCATGTCCTCCTGAGGCACAACGAACATTCAAGCTCGACATGGATTGACCGTGCTGTGACACTTCAATCAACATCTCTAAACAGTGGTAAGCTACCATCTGTGGAGTGATGACATACACCCTCTCATAAAAATGTGATTGGATTATGATTAAAAAACACAGTACAATACAATAGAAGAAATGATCACACATTATATTGCTATACTGCAATGAAATCTAATTTGCTAATGACTAACTGGGACACTAAACCATCTTAAAGTATCACTGATCTTACTGATAGACAATCCCGGTGTTTAGTATTTATTTATTTTGGAATTTTCAATCAATATCTTGTGTAATTTTTAACTTTAAAATTTTATCAAAATTATACTGAAGCCACATATACATAGCACACATGCAAAATAAAGTTTTCAACATTTAATTTAGAAACTTTGAAAGGATAAATTATAGTTATTTCAATATTTATTTACAGTATATATTTACAGTGATAAAACAAGTATTAGATATATGAAAGTTATGCAAACAATGTGTTACATTAGGTTGTGCTGATACATAGTATATGAATGTATTACTATATTCTTTTTCTCACAATATTGCAGCAATACTTATGATATATGATGATACATGCATCCCAATGTGTACTATATCATGATACCAGCCCTATTCTAAGCATGTAATGCAGCATACGAGCATAATGGTTGCCTATATTATTGTCATATACAGTATGCATTTTTTACAGTAGATGTCTTCCAGTCTTTTCCCACAGTTTGGAATTTGTTCAAAGCTAAAAATTCATTTCTGTAAAAGGCATTTCTGTTAGAGCTCACAAGAGGGCATGAGGATGTGGGTGAAGGGAGGAGGAGGGTGGTTTGCTAACACTTCTTCAAATGCACTTAGGGGACAGTGGGATCTCCTCTCTCTGCTTATTCTAATTACTGTGAAATCTGTCTTGTTATATGTTTCCCCAAGTCACTCTGTTATAGGCCTTTACAAGAAAAAAGTAGTACAGAAACTGATTGCATTTGGGCTGATGTTATTGTAGTATCTGTTAGTTTGCAGTAAGTGTTGAATGTCACATGCACATGACATTATAAGGTCACACATTAAGTGTTTAACTTTTCAAGTATATAAAGTACTTTCTTCCTCTATCTCTCTCTATAGTTACAGATGCAGAATTGTTAGGCCATAAAGTAATGCATGTATTTTCATCATAAGTGATTCACTTTAAATCACATATTTTTATTTTGTGCTAAACTTAACCTCTTTGAAACAGCATAGAAAATGTTTTACACTTCCATGGAAATATAGCTAACCAGTTCATTTGGTAGACACAAGAGCTCTAAAAATAAGTCTTCGTGACATTAATCTGTCAAAGGTAAAAAAATAGTACATTAAAAAATACGCTCAAGACAACAAAGCTTTGAGTTGCTGTTACATTTCCTCCTGTCTTCCAGAGAAGTTTATTTTTGTATACATACTTTATGTAGATGCAAACTGGTTAATGAGAACTAAAGTTCAAACACCATGGTTAAAAGAAGAAAGTCTGCATTTTGTAATAGCATTCCAACACTGTATTTTTTTCTTTGTTCTGTGAAGCACAATAGGAGATGCTAGACACAGTGTCTGAGTTTCTGTTTTCTGTTATTTTTCCCTAAACAAATGTTATTATTATTATTATTGGTAAATTGTAATAATAATTCACAATATTGCTATTTTTTCTACAATTTTGATCAAATAAATGCAGCCTTGGTTAGCATAAGAAATTGTTATTTTTTATTATTATTATTTTATTTTTAAATACGATTTCTATCATGATTATCAGTAAATAAAGTAACAATACAATATAAATCATTACAAACTGTCATTGTATGGGAAGGAGCCACTTGGACATGTCTAACATATTTTAATTCTCCAATGAAGAAAGTAAGTAATACAGGGTCAAAACATCATGACAGTGATTAAATGCTGACCATGATGATTTTAGATGAATTAATGCAATACTTTTTTTGTAATCTGACCGCTCATGGGTAGTTTGGTTAATGTTCTCTGAGCCTCTGGAATTTTTTTAAATGTACGCTGGCAGCTGGTTGTTCAAGCGTCAGCACAGCCCCCTAGAAAAGCACTCCTGAATGAGCAATGCAGCAGCCCGCAAAGAGGCCTGCGAAAGTGTCACGCCTCTCAGCTCAAACACGGCTTGAAGCTGACTCCGAAATGGCAAACGGAACAGGTCAGTTCGGCATTAGCCTCCAGTTACAACAGCACCACGCTCCCATGAAGAGCAATTACACACTCTCAAGCAAAGACTACCTTGGCATTACTTCTGGGCCATTATAGAAGGGGAATGACAGACTTTTCAGCGAACAAAGAAAGGACTTACTTTGAAAGGAGGAGAAAGTAGACTTACTGGATCTTTCTCCGAGAATAAGCGTGCAAGACTAATACAAGTCCTTCAACACTTCAAGTATACATTTCTAATGAGTCTTTGGTCTCACACTTAAAATGCAGCAGGCCAGACTGGAATACTCTGAATGCAAACCCAGGCATGGTACATCCGTGGCTTCTGTAAACAGATCATTAGCATTGAAGTGACCTAGTTTACTTTACACCTAACCTAGAGGTAGCAATCTAATCTGACCGCTCATGGGTAGTTTGGTTAATGTTCTCTGAGCCTCTGGAATTTTTTTAAATGTACGCTGGCAGCTGGTTGTTCAAGCGTCAGCACAGCCCCCTAGACAAGCACTCCTGAATGAGCAATGCAGCAGCCCTCAAAGAGGCCTGCGAAAGTGTCACGCCTCTCAGCTCAAACACGGCTTGAAGCTGACTCCGAAATGGCAAACGGAACAGGTCAGTTCGGCATTAGCCTCCAGTTACAACAGCACCACGCTCCCATGAAGAGCAATTACACACTCTCAAGCAAAGACTACCTTGGCATTACTTCTGGGCCATTATAGAAGGGGAATGACAGACTTTTCAGCGAACAAAGAAAGGACTTACTTTGAAAGGAGGAGAAAGTAGACTTACTGGATCTTTCTCCGAGAATAAGCGTGCAAGACTAATACAAGTCCTTCAACACTTCAAGTATACATTTCTAATGAGTCTTTGGTCTCACACTTAAAATGCAGCAGGCCAGACTGGAATACTCTGAATGCAAACCCAGGCATGGTACATCCGTGGCTTCTGTAAACAGATCATTAGCATTGAAGTGACCTAGTTTACTTTACACCTAACCTAGAGGTAGCAATCAGTGTTATAATTAATCTTTTCATGGAATCTCTATCATATTTGGCTGTTTAATGGAGATGTTCAGATGCTAAAATAATTACCTGAGCAGCTACAGTGGCCCACAAAAAGTATTTGGACACTGAAGCCACACATATGCATTAATATTATTATTATTTAAATAATTATACACTGCTTAAAATTAAAACTAATTATTTAAAAACCTCCCGGCAGTCAAACGCTAGTTGAACATGTCCATAGATAATGTGATGAGTTTGTGAGTCATATTTGGACTCACAATTTCATATTTCCCACTCTGACTTCCTGACAAAAACAGGATGTTTTTAGTGCTATGCAACTTAAAGCTGCAGTCCATAAGTTTTGCCTCTTTGTCGCCATCTCTGTTTGAAAACCTGCAATTGCAGTTATTTGCTGAATTATCTTCCTTGTGTGGGTTGTGCACCGGCACGGCTCCAGCGCGGATTAACCTAATGTGTGGCTGTCAGTTACCGTACTTGTGTGGATACTGCACTTTGTATTCACTGATTCTACATCTATAAAGTATGACCCGAATAAGAGTTTTCACTGGAGAATGTCATCTGAACAAGTAAGTAACACTTGCCACTTTTGTTCTGATCAACTGAGGAAAAAAGCATTACAATAAATTGCGCTATCATTGATTAAATCTAACGATCCGTTAGCTCATATCACATCAAACCGTGCCAATTATTATTGTTATACTTTGTTTTCAAATTGTTGACGTTAATAACATCAGCATTGCGTGAGTGTGTGTATTTAGTGTGTATTAGCGTTACCTGTAGATTTAAATTTCTGTACAGTCTAATCTTTCGACCTTTCTGGATTGCAATCCGCCATTTATTGGCACGGCTCCAGCGCGGATGAATCTAATGTGTGGCTGTCAGTTACCGTACTTGTGTGGATACTGCACTTTGTATTCACTGATTCTACATCTATAAAGTATGACCCGAATAAGAGTTTTCACTGGAGAATGTCATCTGAACAAGTAAGTTACACTTGCCACTTTTGTTCTGATCAACTGAGGAAAAAAGCATTACAATAAATTGCGCTATCATTGATTAAATCTAACGATCCGTTAGCTCATATCACATCAAACCGTGCCAATTATTATTGTTATACTTTGTTTTCAAATTGTTGACGTTAATAACATCAGCATTGCGTGAGTGTGTGTATTTAGTGTGTATTAGCGTTACCTGTAGATTTAAATTTCTGTACAGTCTAATCTTTCGACCTTTCTGGATTGCAATCCGCCATTTATTCCAGCTGCTGTCAGAAAAGGCTATAAACCATCCATCACCTGCAGCATCCTCACATGCGATACAGCATACTAGCCGGGACAACTTCTTTATGTTTACAGATGTTAACTAATGACGCAGTGCCATGCTCGAATTTCCCGCGAAAACCTACCCATACCACTCAAATTAGAAAACTTTATTACAAGCTTACTGTTGTGAATCGAGCTAAAGTAAGGCGATAGTTTTGAACACTGGCTGGTAATGTACTTGCTCAAAAATTGATTTTGGATCATTTTTAAACAAAAAAGTTATGGACTGCAGCTTTAATGAAGAGCAAATTATGCACATTAGGTGTGTAATTGATGTTTTATTTATGCATTTTCGGCCCAACATTCAGCCACAATGAATGTTGGGAATTGTAGTTTGTGTATCATGCAGCTAAAAAGTAGTATTTTCTGGGTATTCTCTATCAACAGTACAGAAAATTGTACCATCAACATATTATGATTATTAACATTTAACTGACATCCTTAGTTCAGAAAGCTAGGGCTTAAATTAAGTGTCAAGATTCCCACTAGTAATTATGACTTTCTGGTGGCATTTGTGTGTGCTCAATTTGTAAATATGATTATTCAGATAGTAAAATGACCTTGAGGCCCATGTGTTTAAATTTTTTTATAACTGTATAAATGGCTCTGGAAAAGTTCTAAGAAAAGGACTAACATTATTTGTTTGCAGATACCACTTGGTTCGATATTTTGGTGCATTCATGTCAGTAAGATTTGTTGAGTTCTAGAACTGCAAGTGGAAAACTCTCTTTAAGCCCTGCGTTTCAAACTGATTTAAAAAAAAAATATTTACAATAAAACTATTCATGTTGCATGTACAAAATACCACAACAATACAATTACAATAGAATATATAACTATTACAATTAAATTTACAGAACCTTCAAAAGTTGAATAAAAACATTAAAAAACAAAAACAGACCTGATGCATATTCTTTAGTCATCATTTCGCAGAAGTAGATTTAAACAATTTTGCTGACTTTTTTCGTAAAAATGGTAGATCTTGCTCTGACCAAAGCTTTCAAAAACGTGTGTACAAACCTCCCGGAAATTTAAATGCAACAACATTCATGCACGTTTATGTGTGGTGTAAGCATCCAAATGCTTGTTTTGACTTCTGTGTAAATATGAGATGATGCTACATTTGAATAATTATGTGGATTGAGAACAACAGCCCTTAATGAATGGATCACATTTTTTAAGGACCACAATAATCCAGGAGCGCTGTCTGCTTGAATAGATCAGCACCTGCAAATATTACATTGAGTACACTCTTGCCTTCTGAACACTCTGAACATCCCATATGATCAGAGAGGCCTCTGATCTGTTTGATCTTACGTCTATTCCCTGTGTTGCTCAGATGTGAGATCTTCCTGGATGACTGAGAGACCTGTATTCATTTCAGACTTTGCAAGAGGATCAAGTAAACACATATATTTCATTTACTTATTGTTGCTAATCATCTTAAAAGTCACTTGCATGAAGGTGAAAGGTCACTGATTCTTACATGTATATTGAACTGACAACCTCTTTACTCCACAGACACTAACAGCACTTACTGTTCCTCTTTGTCTCTTTTCCTGTGGCCTTGCAATGTGTGATTAAAACAAGGCAGCACTTCTCCTTTAATCTATAATGGAGCAGCCGCTATCATTTATTGTTAAATAATGCACAGTAATAACTTGAGCTCCAGTGACCTGCCTGTGGGCTCGCTGTGGACTTTGAACAGGTCAAGGTATTGCGGACACAACAACACGAGAGGTATGCAGCAAAGTGCATGAAAGTTGTGTATATCCATGCTGTTGCGTGCGTCTGCATGAGTTTCTATTTCCTTTGATCAAGCCATAGCACAAAATTGAATTTACTGGTCAGAGCAACAGCAGATTGCATTGTCAGAGATTTGTAGAGATCTTTTTACTTTACATTGTGGTATTACCAAGAAAGTCTATATTATCTGGAGAGAGCTATCTGTTAGCATTTCCATTCATCTCAGTTCTCTTCTCAAGTTATTTCCTAAGCTGTGACGTTAAAGACAGCAGACTGAAAACAGTAAATTTTCAGCTTAAAAAAATCTGTTTTATGCTTTTAAAATAGTCTTAAAATAGTCAATTTTCAGTATCTGGTGACAGACTAAAATCTTTGAACCAAAATCTGTATGTCTTCAGTTGGAGAATATCTTTTTATCAAAGACTTCTTTCACTAAGTATACACATCAAAGTGGTTCAGTAATTTCATTTAAAACTCTTGACATCTTATCAGTGTGTACCACTCTCCTTTTATTCAGAACATCTGCTCTTAAAAAAACAACTTTATCTGCAAAGTCAAACTTTTGCCTGTTTGCTTTGCCTTTCGGCCTTCTGCAAAGAGTTGCATTTTTAACATTAAAAGCATTCTGGCTGAAGTTATTCTAAAGCTTTGGAACTTTGACCTGTTTTGTTTTACTTGGATTTGGAGTCATGGTGGGCAAGTCAAAACTTCTTTGACCAGTATACCCACGGAAAATTCTTCCTAATCAAAGTCACATTTCAGGAAGCCAACGCAATCACGTTCAATTCACCTCAGTGGTGGAGACTAAAATACTTAACCTCTTAAAGTCAAATTTGAATGATAATCATGCAGTCATGTGCTCCATATTCATACTTCAACAGTGTGCCTCTCATTCTGATGACTACCCCATATCAGGTTAATGAATAATGCATGATAGCTTTTTTTTTCATATTCAAGCACACATATATACGTATATATACACTCAAGCGTTCAGCTTGCAAAAAGTGTACAAGAATGTTTTTGATTATTTTTGCATTGTTCCAGACATGCACCAAAGCATTTGGGGATACACTATCTGAAAAGTTGGACAACCATTATAAGGTCAAGAGCAGATTTTTTTTTTCAGTCGTGGAGACAGATTTGGTTATTAAACATATTGTCCAAAAAAGTTTATTGGTCAACATGAATCTTCATTTTTTCTTTCTTTCTCATTATTTTCAACATGAAAAAGAATAGCCAAACAGAGTCCCGAACCCAACCTTTAACCCTATGCTCTAACAGTTTGTATTGGTAATACTAGACCAGATCAGTAATGGACAAGGAACAGAGGGATGATTTTCTTCAGTCCTGCATTTGGCTCAGTGTTTACTGGTCACACTAATGTCAGCAAACAAAATGAAAAATCAAACACAAGTTAACACACTCTTGGCTGTTTTTCATCTGTTCTGCTGTAAACATCCATGATAAAAATTCTATTTGGTGGATAGCTTGTAAATTGAAAGTTTAAACATGGTTGCTGGGCAACCATGGACCAGTTGCCAAACAAGCACTACTGCCAATTATGGTGGGCATAGGAAGTGGCAGGTCTCTTTTTTCAATGTCACTTTCTCTTTGAATAAACTCTTTCACAGAGGACAGAGTTAACATTGCGCTGAGGATCGCAGCTGCTTAAAGTGAAAATAGTCATTTCTACTATAAGCTACAATTAACTGAAACAGCAATGTGAAGGATAATTTAAATATTTCTTGCTATCTGTATGTGTATTGATTAATCAGAGTATTTACTCATCTAGGATTCATTTCAATCTCAGATTTAAAGTTGTAAATATAAATGTATACAATACACATAAAAATAACACTAGATGTACTGCCATTGCTGACAGGTGAAAATCTCACCTGTCCCACTGTAGTTCCAGAGGGACAATATTTCATACTAGACTGTGATGAAAAGAATACAATAAACTTGATTACACTAGACATCTCGAGATTGCATCACTCTTACTTACCAAGCCCACTAATCAGCAGGACATCTATACAACAATAAAGTATTAGGCAGATAATTGTCTGTACTCAAATGACTGATTTATATGAAAATATAAACTGAATACAAATTAGAACTGATATTTAGAACAACAGCAATATTGCAAGTGTGACAAGAGTCAACAAAACAAGACTCTAATATTGTGTAACTTACATTTTAGACAACACTCAAAATAAATTTGTTGACTAAGTAACTGGCGATATTGTGTGTGTTCCAGCAACACACAATAATGGTGTCTTGTTCCTCAGTGTTTTTTTTATGAATTGTATGAGTGAATGGTTCAATGACTCACTCGTAAACACAGTCATTTGTGTAATTCCTGAATGAATCAGTGTGTTTGAATGAATCATTTGAGTGAATAATTTAATGTTTCACTCACAAAGACTGTGGCTGGATCTGAAATCACCTACTTCTCTTCTATATAGTAAGCAAAAAAATAAATAAAAAAACGTATGTGAAAAAAATTGTATGTCTGAATTCACAGAATTCATCAAACGGTAGGCAAAAAGTACCTGGACCAGACTGACTGACAATCTATCTGGAACCTGCAAACACAGTCAAGCAGAGTTGTATAATCAATATGAACTGTTGTAAAAGCAGAATCACAGTCAGAAATACTGAATAGCACAACAGAAAGTAAAATGCTGATATATTCAGAACCACAGCCCTCTTGTTCATGTGATGGTGCTTGATTGCAAGATAAGGGAAAAAAAAAAAAAAGTCTAAAGGTGCTATCAGTATTTCTTCTGGTAAAAAGCTATCAAGTGAACACCTGTGTACCACAATGAAAATTCTTAGAAGTTTTAAAGAGTCATTTTTAGGGCTTGTGATAAAGTGAAGAGCCATCTGTTTTGCCGTTTACACAGCACTGATAGTGAAAACCATGTAATAATTCATATTCATGAATTTGAGGCGATAATTCAGTCCCTCTTGCCACAACATGACCAAAAGGAATTCTGGGGCAAGCACCCACGATTAGATGTGGCACATTCAGAGGCTCTCAGCTAAATGCTGCTTGAAGGTGTTGGTTTCAGAAGAACACTGATGAAAAATAATGGTGCCATTGTTCTCTGATATTGCACCTTGCTATTAGATTTACCTGATATGGGAGCGTGAAGTGTGTAGAGGGGGAAGGTTGATCTCTTTAGGTAATTAGGTTTGCCCGGGTATTATTGCTGCAGATCCGAACCTTGAGGGGTGGTTGCTTGGTTGCTAATCATTTGAAGCCTCTGCTGGAACTGAAGATGTTTGGTTGCACAGAGGTAGCTGCCCGGCCTTTGGTTAAGCTTGTTAAGGAGGGGGCAGGGAGGTTACCGTTATTGAAGGGAAGAGAGCAAAAGAGATTAAGTGAGGGCAATAAATATGATGACTTAACCACATTGCACATCTCTCATAGGTATAATTGTCCCTGCGGTGCCAACTATGATTCAATTACTTCATAATCTAGTGAACAGTATATGTGACATGACAGGTTGGTTATTACCTTCTCCACAAAGCCTGGTATTTGTATTTGTCTGTGTCAGTTTTTTTCTGGGATAGGATGTTTGTGATGATGTATGTCTACACAAGCAGGATGTTAGGATACAAGCACTTAAGGATACATTTTAAAGCCCTGGCTTGCTTGTAAGCTGCCGAACAGAAAGAAAGGTCGATAGATACAAAGTTATGTTTGTTTCTATACATAGAAATTAGTTTGAGAACCTGGATTGTCATTGGGGATTTTTAGCATTGACACAGATCTCACCATTGGACAGCCAACGTGAGGGAGTTTTTGATACTGTGTGTGCCCTATTCTTCCTTCCACTACGAATCTGAATTGTTAGAAACGTAGCAGCCAGCTGAATAACCAATGGTCCAAAAGCATTTGGAAAGCAATTTTCAGAGCTTTTCAAAAGGCATTCTGAAAGTTCAAAGATACCATCCCCTGCCTGCGACTTTGGGGAAAACAGACTAAAGGTGCCAGTGAGGTGCTGCAGAAGTCACACGTGCTTTTTATCATCATGCAGACACATTCTCAAAACCCTGCCATCTCAACCCAGTTTTAATCACCATAGGCGACATCTTGAGGTGTTGGGAGCAGACATTCCTCTTCAAAGGCAGTGCTACAACACAAACAATAATGCCAAGATAATCAGTCCTCTCATTATGCAGTGAAGTGGCTTATTTCACCACGGTTTGAAGTGAGAAAGAGCCAAAAGTCATCCTCAGATCCCAAAAGCAGACGGTTGACACAACTCATTATACAGCTATTTGAAAACACGTCACAGAGTTTGACAGGTCACCCTTTCCGCCACACAGGTCATTAATGGCACTCTAAAATAAGGCTGGAGAAAGAAGGCAATTTCGGATCACTTGACATGGACTCTCGATCCTCTCGGCAAGAGAAACAGGTTGCTTGTCTTGAATCAACAAACCCGCCGGTTTGAAACGTACAGTATTACATCTCATTATGTCCCATTCCTGCTACGATTGTCATCTTGCGCAGGGACACCCCACTTAGTTTTGGATCATTATGTCTTTGGATGCGGCCTTACAGACAGCTGAACTAAGAGCTCTGCTATGAGACTGTGAAATATTTCACTTGCCGACCTACCCAAATCCAACCTATCCTCTTATGTTCAGCAGACATCAAATTTCACCTTGGGTCTCTCCATTTTGCTCAGTGAATGAAAAACAGAAACAATTCTAATAGGCTTGAGAGGTCAGATTGCCATTTTATGTCACCATTCTGTCAGCTGATTCAAATGATGTTAGTTGTGAGAAGGTCAGAGTGAATGGCTGTCTAAGGGCACGTTTCAAAGGTGATGGTGGAGATGGGAGCTCTAAGAAATGTGCTGTATTAAAAAAGGTTAAATTTGGTGTATGACAAAAACAGCGCACAGCGACTAAAATGGCATCATCATAAGTAAGAAAATGTTACAAAAAAACCCCCACCAGAATAATAAATACAGTTACTCCTATGAAAAGATAAACTTCCAGCATTTATGGAATGGTAGCAAATGTTACGATGACAATATTTTCATGCGTCACTTTCATGTTACTTTTTTACTGCTAATGAGTAGTTCTAGTGTTGTTATTGCTAACTAAAACAAATAAATAACAAGTAAATAGTTTACAATTAAAAGTCTTATCTTGAACTATCTCAACCATTTCATTAATGAGACGTTTATGAAAAAAAAGAAACAAAAACATGTAGCTGACATGCTACTTTTAGAACTGAGTAAAACAGAACTTGAAATGTATTTTCAAAGTAATGTATCCTTAACATGCTAGTATGGAAAAAGGCAGCTGGTTAAAAGAGCTCTTTAAACACAAGTGCGGTGAAGGAGA